TCTACATCAGTTTTTCCAGGCCTTTTTTAGTACCACGTAACAACTCCGNTTTTTAATAATTGATTATATTTGAGACTTATGTAACTTTAAGCCTAAAGCACTCACAACATATCATGAAAGATTGTTTGGATGAAGCATCACTGTGCATTATCACATACTTAATAAGGGTAGTTAAGTGCTGAATTTTTTTAAAAAATTGCAAACTGATATAACACATAATAGTCATCTCCAGATTAAAGCATTCTTGGCACCTGCACGATTCTCTGTTAATTATGTCCAATGTGTATCCTTCGAAATACATATGATACTGTTATAAAGCAACACAGCATTGACTTCTCTGGATTTTGTAGCTCAAACCAAAGCCTTGAAGTATTAATTGTAGACATGTAAAAATTTCATTGACACAAATGTATAGAATGGAAACAGGCCATTCGGCCCAACTGGTCCGTATATTTCTTATGTCCCCTCATTATTGATTCCCCAACCAGTGGAAACAGCATTACATTTCTTTGTTGATTTCAAAGGTTTGAGAAATAGAGTAGTGAAAGAATATTGATTTACTTTTACTTTCGGATTGGGAATATAGAGTTTTAATTTATATAAAACAAATACATATCGGACATGTTTTCCACCTTCTCCCACTTTTGGGTGGTCATCTGTAAGGAGCCGAATTCCAATGTTTCTATTAACATTAATGAGCAATTTGTATTGCGTTAAAGTAAATGAAGTACTGGTATGTTGGAAGACTTCCGGTTAACATTAGACTTTTTCTTTCAGAGACCAAAAGACTGAAGCAATAATGAGATGTGCCGATTCCACACCTGGATAACTTCAGTACTGAGAACCAGAGTAAACACAGAAATGGTTTGGCATCAGATGTCCAACTCATTAAATAAAGCCCATCGTTCCCTTTTGTAACTTGTTTGTTATGGTTTAAAAACTCTTTTCTATACTGATGCATTTTCCTTTTTCCGATAATATTATATTGTGATATAGTACTGCGTTTTGATAGTGGGTATGTTAAATTGGTGAATATTTTAATTGTTTAAAGAATATCCAATTAACAAGGTCAAATTACGTATTGGAACTGAATGATTTTGTTAATGTTCACTGCCCTTTGAATTGGAGCTGTGATTTCCTTGTAAAATATCCATTGTCAGGAAATGAACATTGCAAGAAGCATTTTGACTAACCCTAACCCTAACCCTAACCCTAATCCTGTATAAAGTGTGAATTGTATTATGTATAGCAATGCTCATCACTGAATCACACAAAACTGTCCCAAAATGTGTCAATATAACTTCTTGTGCTGCGTTTAAAAGCAATCTACTGCCTCAAATGTCATTCATTGCTGAATGATATGAACTGTGTATAAATTGTGTAATTGTAACATTTGCTATGCTGCTACCAGTTAGCAATCAACTGTCTGAAATGTATGTGCAAGTGGAAGTCAACTTAAATAGTTCTGTGTTCGAATTGTTGTGTTTAAAACTGCTGAATATATTGAACAATGTTTCTACACTTGGCTTTTCCAGAACAATACTTCGCACCAAGACAGTGGAACAAGAGGACACAGGTTTACAGTTGCAAATGGTAATTTCAGAACATAAGACATCTCAAACCCTTGACAATGCTACCTGGGTGCCCAAACTGGAGGTGAGCTGTGGGGACGGGGAGAGATATGATGATTAAAATCTTGATCAAATCCTGCATAAGACAAATATCTTTGACCATGGCTATGGTCACCTTACATCTCCCATCTGACCTCATCTTGCAAAGTACTCGAAGAGGTTATCCTACATGAAGATGCAAGTTATTATTGTTGTTTAGTTGTCTTAAGCTGAGAAAGATAACAAGAATATTACAACAACAACAACAACAACTGCAAAATTACATTAGTATAATACAGTGATAGAGAACAGTGGAGTCTGGTTGAAGCGAATGAGATTTTTTTTAAAAAAAATTCAGAACTTTCACAAATGGCAGCTGCTGAGCTAATGTGAAAAGCAGGTTTTGTGATATGAAACCAGATGAACGACAACTCCAGATGCACGAATCAGCGGCCACTGTGAGTTTTGATGGCAAGTGTCAGAATGTTATAAACAATAGGGAACCAATATAACCAATCCTAACTGTGTCATCATCTAACATCTACACAGATTTATTTTTCCACACAGGTCATTGCATTTTAGGAAAACAATAATAAAAATAATAGTAACAATAATAATAATAATAATAATAATTCTTGCATTTGACATAGCACCTGACTGCATGGATTTGCTAACAAATATTCTTATAAAAAGCCAGTCAGTGGGTACACAATTCAAAAAGAGAGATCAACAAAAAAATTATATTTGTATAGCGCCTTTCACGTTGGGAGTACATCCCAAGGTGCTGGACAGAGTTTCGGACCCGAGCTGGGGGTTGGTATTGAGGAGGGTGGAGTGTCCAGGGGAAGCAGAGAGATCGAAAGCATAGATGAAGAGGAGTGTCTGAGATGGGTATTGAATGAGGCAAGGGAGTGGACGAGGCGGAGTGACTGCGTGATGGAGTTCCAGAGGGTGGGGGCAGAGTGGCAAAAGGCCAACACACCAATAGTGGGGGAGCGAAATGGGGGGCGTTAAGCAAGCCGGAGAACGCTGAGTAGACGGAGCAAGACAATGGAGGGCTTTCAACGTGAGGACCAGGAACTTGAACTGTATCCTCTGTGTGATGGGAAGCCCATGGAGTCGGGTGAGGATGGGGGTAATAGGGCCACGGAGCCTGGTGCAGGAGAGGACACAGGCTGCAGAGTTCTGGATAATCTGCAGCCTATGGAGGGAGGAGTTTGGGAAATTGACAAGCAAGGAGTTTGCAAAGTGAAACCTCGATGTAATGAAAGCGTGTATGAGGGTTTCAGGGGCCTGTGCTGTGAGACAGTGGCGGAGCCGGACGATGTTGCGGAGATGGAGGAGGGTAGAGTGGATCATAGCACAGATGTGGGATAGAAAGGATATTCGAGGGTCAAACAAGTCGCCAAGGTTCCGGACTTGCTTAGTGAGGTGGAGGATACAGCCATGGATGGTGATGCTGTCAGCGCCTGAAGTGTGGAGGCGCTGATGGGAGACAATCAGGAGAACCTCGGTCTTGTTGATGTTCAACTCCCATCCAGGACTTCATGTCTGACAGACATACTATTAGGACAGCAGTGGTCCTGGAGTCAAGGGTGGAGATAGAGATGTCGAGTTGGGTGTCACCTGCATACATGTGGAAGACGACCCCATGTCTGCGGATGAAAGTTTGCTAAAGAACCAGAGTCCTGTACAACCAGTTTAAAAGAAGAAAACTTCCGGGAATTCACAAACAAGTTCAGAAGCACAGATATATGAATAAATCCTTACTCTGGAATTCTGTAATGTTTCCGGATTTGAAAGTTACCGAGGGTCCAGTTCCACATTACACTCTGTGGTTTGTCATCTAAACCACCGAGTGTGAGGAAGAACTGCACACTTAGTAACTTTCAAATGTGGAAATTTTAAAATAAACTTCAATTATGAATCTCCTTTTTCCAGGAAACCTTTACAGATGAGCAATAAATCATCCATTAATACAATAAAATGTGATCAGCATTACTCAACAATTTGGTGAAAAAATAGCGGCTGAACATTGCAATGTTGCCACATGTTGCCTAATGTACTATATTATATAATATACTAATTTGCACATTGAATTTAACGTTGTCACAATATTTAACATTTGCACTGGGTCCCAGGCATGTCGGAGACAATCTAGCCCTCCTCCTCTCAATACCCTTCTAAATAGCAAGAACCTAGTTTTCGCTTTGTATTGGATTTTGAAGCTTTGTGGATCAGATTGATGATGAATGCAACAGCAGGTTGTTCTTAAGAAATGCAGAAAACAATTTAACAATTCAATCTGAATTGAATAATTTTCAACAATTCTGTGAGATCTTAACGTTTAAGACAAATGCTTCTACAGACTAGGATTAGGTTGAATTTAGGTCCTTTCCATGCTTGCAAGCTCGCACTCCAAGGACATTCGGGAATCTTGGCTGCCGGTGTGCAAATTTGCTGTCACTGAATTTCGCAGTAAAATCCTTTAAAACCTTTTGAGACATTACAACGGCGTACTATTTCAGCGGCATGCTGTATTATGATGCTGTTAAGCACTCTAAGATGCTTCCCTATGTGGAGGTTGCCAGATAAATGCAAGCTGTTGTTATTGTTCCCACAAAATATACAGTTAATTCACTTTACAGTATATTCTATGAAGCGCTTTGAGATGTCTCAAAGACGTGATAAGGCGCTATATCAAATGCAAGGATTATTATAATTTGGCAGATATTTTTGACAGTTTTGTAGCTGTCACAGCTTCAGATTGAAGATAAGTGACAATCTTAATCACTTATAACATTTGCCACCAAAATTCACACGTGACTGTATTTCAACAATCGTGACCCATTCTTAGTCAACATTATTTTTGCACTCTCACTAATGTATGAAGTTAATAGCATGAAAACTCTGACACATTTCTCGTAATTCATAGGTTTAGAGTCTGCTTTGTGTTCCCCTTTATTATAATCTGAAGGAGCGTGCCAAGATCTCTTAAGCGTTAAATGTAAAATCTGGAACTGGATTTGGCTACACATGGCTGAAAATGAATATTGTGGTGAACAACAGTACATGCATTCCTGAAAGCTGTGTAGCCCTCAATAATGTTTTGTTGCATATCAATTTGTGAGTAATGATTGATCAAAAGGTCTTGAGGGAAGAGGATTATTTCTTTGAAAAAATGACAGTGACAAATTAATTTCTACTGTTAAAGGCTTGGACTGTAGAAGGTTGACGTTCATGGGTTGGAAAGAGTCAAAAATTAAGCAATAGACGAATGGGGGATGTCCCTTAACCAACAAATGCCCTGTTTGGTGGATTTCATTTCCGCTGCTTGCCAAGTGAAAGGAGAAATTCACAATAAATAGCGGTTCAGAGGAGCTTTCTGGCATTGAATTTCACTGCGAGAGAAACAGTGAGACAGAGTCAGGCAAGAGACCCTGCAGCAGAAATCCATTCAACAGCACTAGGATGAAGATGAACACTGTAACTGTGCTCGTCATGCTTCTGTGTGTTATTGCCACGCAAGGTAAGTTGACTTTGTGCTCTTATGTTTCATCTCATTTCAATTTATCCTGATGGATCTCAGGGGTTATTGAAATTGAACTTTTTTCTTTGACTCTATTACACCTGTTCCAGGTTACTGCAGAGTTGTAAGGTTTGCAGTATTAGATGAAGTGCAGAAGAATCAAATCTCATAATATACTTTTTCTATATACAAAATAATGTTCAAATCTAGTAAAAGAATTAATAGTAATAATTCTTGCATTTGGTTTGGTCTCAAATATAGTAACTAGAATATTCAAAAAGTCTTGATGTGCTTCGCAGATAATTGCTGTAAAGTGTAGTGACTGTATTTTGTGGATAAATGCAGCAGCCAATTTGCACACAACAATAATGCATTGCTGCATTGTGATCAATAAATGAATGCACTTAATTCTGTTTTACAGGAATTCCCATTGTGGGAACCAGTGCTCACTGTCTCTGTATTCAGACAACTTCCAGATTTATAAAACTGCAGAATATCCAGAGTCTGGAGTATATTCCCAGAAGAAGTGGCTGTGAGTCAACAGAGATAATGTGAGTCAAATTGTATGTAAAACTTTCAGAACATTGTTGATGCCTAACGAGTGCTGTCATTTAATGGTATCCATTTAATAGAAAGTATGATTTCTTCAAATCATTCCTAATTGTTCAGTCTATTTACAAAGCTAATTTTAATTATTTTGTTCTAAAAATGTGCTCACTTTCACATTGTCACGTTTTCTTTCCATCACTCAGATCTTAATAGATAAATTTCTCTTTGCAGTGTTACCCTGAAAAGCAACAGAAAAGTGTGTGTGAATCCTGATGCCAAGTGGGTGAAGGTTGTTATTGCCCGAAGAGGTAGGTTTCTAATAGATTCACTTTTAGCTTGTGATTCGAACGAAAACACAACATCTTCTTTGTGATGAAGGTTGAGAGATGCTGTGGTGATGCTGGGATTGATATGCGAGGCATCTATTGATTACCTTTAGGTCTGCCATTTCTCAGAGTCTTATCTTCTAATAATTATTAGCTGTAGTTGCTTTCTAAAGATTCTGAGGGATATTTGGAAACCTTAATATGTTAAATGAACATTCAGAACTACATTGTGTACTTCTGTTCTCTTGTCCACCAAAGACTGTACATTTTATAACCCCATATTCTCTGAATAGGTGACTAATATTGCACAATCTTTCTTTTTGGATTGCTGTTTAATTAAATTACTTCCATTTTACTGCTCAATGAATGCAACTGATTGTGTCAGCAACCAGAAATTGAAAGGATTATACACAAACATCTACATTCTTGTATTACTAAAATTCAGACTGTTTTAAAATAGACCAATGAAGATTGTGATTAACGCTGTGTATTAAAAAGAGTGTCTGTGATTACTGGGTGGACGATTTCTGGTTAATATCATACTTCTTTATTTTCAGAGGCCAGAATGCGCAGTCGAAATATGAAGCCGTGAAGTGATGGGGCTGATTGCACATCTGGATAAGTTGAGAAATGTGGAGTTGAGTGATGGAGAAGCTTTACAAAGGATCAGAACAATTGAAGTCATTCTATTACTTTGCTTTCTATCCGAATCAAAATCTGACTTCTCTAGCATGCTGAAAAGTTTTACACACAGTGATTGTTTTGAAATAAGATCCTTATGAAATATGAAGTACTCCCACTTCCTGCACACTCAGTGAAGGAGACCTTATATGTAGGTTAAGGTTTATTGTGTTATCATGTTTCTATACTATAGCACATTCGTGAGTTGATCTATTATAGAAATTCATCAGTTTTGAACACTGCACAACCCCGTTAAATTATTTATTTTCAGTAAGCTATGAAGTTCTGCATGGAAAGAGATGGTAATTCTGACTCTATGAAAGATTTTCTGGGATGAGGTGAACAGATTGAGACTTTTTAAATTTGGAAAAGTTCAGTTGTGATAAATGTCAAAAGTTCAATGATTCCACTCCAGGGAATTTTCATGTAGTGGTAGAAACCTTTTTCTGGCTGATTATTTTTTCCACTCATTATGACAAGTATATGATATACATGAATGAGAAATGTAAATCTATTCGATAGATTTTGTGGGCAGCGAAAATAGGATAATTTCAGGCATCAGCATTCTCTGTATTGATAGCATACAGACAGGATGTCAGATGTCAGTCATACAACAGCTGAAATTACTGGCATCCCTGGAAATATTGTTTAAAAATCAGCTTGAGGAATTGTTCAGATCCCAGGCCCCTTCAGCCCCTCAGTAGTTATTGGATCTATCAGTACAAGAGGATGAACTTGAACTTTCCAGTTAAGTAGTTTTCTTTCTATAAGCATATTAAAATGCTCAGAAATGGATTTGGTATAAGCTATCTGGACAATTATAAAGTACATTTCTGCCTTTCAAAATACTTGTAGATGTGCTGCTACAATGTTATGTGTTTTCTATTTCATTTACAAACCAAATTTGAAGTGCTTTCTTCTGTCTTAAAACAAAGAAAATTGTTACTATTCTCTGTAGATACATTTGATAACAAAAACAGTTTTATTTTAGTTCTTGATCGAGATATTTTTCCAATTTGAAAGATTATTTTTAACTTCAAATAACAAGAACCCATTGCATGATGTTCAGACTGAAACTATTTGGTCAAGTAAAATATAGTATTAGAACTTTGCAAATGGAAATTAATTATGGATATGAGACTGTATGTAAATAGTAGTGCTCTTTACTGTGTGGTATTAATTGCAAGAAATAGCATTGTAAAAATAAATTTGCTATCTTCAACCCAATGGACATGTTATTATTTAGTATGTTATTAGTAGGTTCAGTGTACTAAAAGATATTGATATATTTTAGGAGATTAATAAATGAACACATTTTGTCTAAAAGCAATTCTAGTAATTGTGATTGATGTTGACAATATGTTTCCTCAGTAAATAAGACTGGTGCACTCATAAACATATTTGAGTTCTTTCTCATGCACTTCACACAGTTATAAATTGATGCCAGTATATCTGATTGCTTACGAGCTTTGTGGAAGATATGAAGAGAAACATGATTTTTAATCCTTAATTGATATAATGTTTTTCACCTTGGGGGGATATCTTAGAAAGCTTCACAGGAGTTACTGTGAAGTATAGTGACTATTTTTTATTAAACTTTTTTGAGTTGTTTCTCACTCACTACATGCAGTTATGCACTGATGTCAGTACATCTGTGATGTACATGTTGCAGTGCAGGTTGCTAGATAATATATAACCACCTGGAATCTGAGAGCTTCTGTACAGTGCAATCCATCAGTAGCCATCCAAACGGCTACAGATAATGGTAATACAGGGGCTGATGCTCTGCAAATCTCCCTCCTGTCAATAATTATGAGCTGGTGAGGGTCCTTTTCCCACAAACAGCTCGTCTCCATTCTCAATCAGGGATGGTGTAGTCTGGTAGCCACTGTATAGTTTGTGGGGTGCATCTGTTTCCCATCACTCCTCTGCACTATAATCTATATCAACAGCAACAACAACAACAAGATTCCATTTATAGAGCGCCTTTCACGTCGGGAGGACGTCCCAAGGCGCTGTACAGTTGGGTCAGGACCCGAACAGGGGGGAAATGGTCAGGGTGAGGGAGGGAATGGATGGAGCGAGGAAGGGGTAGAGAGTCGAGAGGGGAGCTGAAGGCACAGTCAAAGAGAAAGGTCTTGAGACCGGCCTTGAAGGAGGAAAGGGAGGAGGCGGCGAAGGCATTGGTGGATAGAGTTCCAGAGCCTCGGGGCTGAGAGGCTGAAGGCCCGGCCACCAATGGTAGGGCGGTTGGGGCGGGGGATGTGGTGCAGACTGGAGCCAGAGGAACAGAGGGTACGGGCAGGTAGGTAGTGGGATAGTAGGTCGGAGAGGTAGGAGGGAGCAAGGCCGTGAATGGCTTTGTAGGTGAGGGTGAGTATCTTGAAATCGATCCTCTGGGGGATGGGGAGCCAGTGGAGGCGAGCGAGGGTGGGAGTGATGTGGTCCTGAAGCCTGGTGCGGGACAGTACACGAGCTGCAGAGCTCTGAATATCAGTGTTTTTCAGCCTTTTTTAGTACCACATACCAACTCTGTTTTTTTCACAATTGATTATATTTGAGACTTATGTGACTTTAAGCCTAAAGCACTCAGAGACACTGCCCCATTTGAAGTGCACTATATAAATGTAAATTGTTATTGAAGTGATGGATGTATAGAAAGGGGGTAAACTGAAAATCAAAATCACAAATTTTCACAACATATCATGAAAGACTGTTTGGGTGAAGCATCACTGTGCATTATCACGTACTTAATCAGGGTAGTTACCTTAGTTAAGGGCTGTATTTTTTTCAAAAAATTGCAAACTGATATAGCACATAATAGTCATCTCCAGATTAAAGCATTCTTGGCACCTGCACGATTCTCTGTTAAACATGTCCAATGTGTATCCTTCGAAATACATATGATACTGTTATAAAGCAACACAGCATTGACTTCTCTGGATTTTGTAGCTCAAACCAAAGCCTTGAAGTATTAATTGTAGACATGTAAAAATTTCATTGACACAAATGTATAGAATGGAAACAGGCCACTCGGCCCAACTGGTCCGTATATTTCTTATGTCCCCTCATTATTGATTCCCCAACCAGTGGAAACAGCATTACATTTCTTTGTTGATTTCAAAGGTTTGAGAAATAGAGTAGTGGAAGAATATTGATTTACTTTTACTTTTGGATTGGGAATATAGAGTTTTAATTTACATAAAACCAATGCATATCGGACATGTTTTCCACCTTCTCCCACTTTTGGGTGGTCATCTGTAAGGAGCCGAATTCCAATGTTTCTATTAACATTAATGAGCAATTTGTATTGCGTTAAAATAAATGAAGTACTGGTATGTTGGAAGACATCCGGTTAACATTAGACTTTTTCTTTCAGAGACCAAAAGACTGAAGCAATAATGAGATGAGCCGATTCCACACCTGGATAACTTCAGTACTGAGAACCAGAGTAAACACGGAATTGGTTTGGTATCAGATGTCCAACTCATTAAATAAACCCCATCGTTCCCTTTTGTAACTTGTTTGTTATGGTTTAAAAACTCTTTTCTATACTGATGCATTTTCCTTTTTCCGATAATGTTATATTGTGATATAGTACTGCGTTTTGATAGTGGGTATGTTAAATTGGTGAATATTTTAATTGTTTAAAGAATATCCAATTAACAAGGTCAAATTACGTATTGGAACTGAATGATTTTGTTAATGTTCACTGCCCTTTGAATTGTAGCTGCGATTTCCTTGTAAAATATCCATTGTCAGGAAATGAACATTGCAAGAAGCATTTTGACGAACCCTAACCCTAACCCTAACCCTAATCCTGTATAAAGTGTGAATTGTATTATGTATAGCAATGCTCATCACTGAATCACACAAAACTGTCCCAAAATGTGTCAATATAACCTTCTTGTGCTGCGTTTAAAAGCAATCTACTGCCTCAAATGTCATTCATTGCTGAATGATATGAACTGTGTATAAATTGTGTAATTGTAACAGTTTGCTATGCTGCTACCAGTTAGCAATCAACTGTCTGAAATGTATGTGCAAGTGGAAGTCAACTTATATAGTTCTGTGTTCGAATTGTTGTGTTTAAAACTGCTAAATATATTGAACAATGTTTCTACACATGGCTTTTCCTGAATTCAAGAAAAATCTTGATCAAATCCTGCATAAGACAAATATCTTTGACCATGGCTATGGTCACCTTACATCTCCCATCTGACCTCATCTTGCAAAGTACTCGAAGAGGTTATCCTACATGAAGATGCAAGTTATTATTGTTGCTTAGTTGTCTGAAGCTGAGAAAGATAACAACAATATAACAACAACAACAACAGCAAAATTACATTTGTATAATACAGTGATAAAGAACAGTGGAGTCTGGTTGAAGCGAATGCGATTTTTTAAGAAAAAAATTCACAACTTTCACAACTGGCAGCTGCTGAGCTAATGTGAAAAGCAGCTTTGGTGATATGAAACCAGATGAACGACAACTCTAGATGCACGAATCAGCGGCCACTGTGAGTTTGGATGGCAAGTGTCAGAATGTTATAAACAATAGGGAACCAATATAACCAATCCTAACTGTGTCGTCATCTAACATCGACACAGATTTATTTTTCCGCGCAGGTCATTGCATTTTAGGAACACAATAATAAAAATGATAGTAACAATAATAATAATAATAATAATTCTTGCATTTGACATAGCACCTGACTGCATGGATTTGCTAACAAACATTCTTATAAAACGCCAGTCAGTGGGTACACAATTCAAAAAGAGAGATCACCAAAAAAATTATATTTGTATAGCTCCTTTCACATTGGGAATACATCCCAAGGTGCTGGACAGAGTTTCGGACCCGAGCTGGGGGTTGGGATCGAGGAGGGTGGAGTGTCCAGGGGAAGCAGAGAGATCGAAAGCATAGACGAAGAGGAGTGTCTGAGATGGGTATTGAATGAGGCAAGGGAGTGGACGAGGCGGAGTGACTGCGTGACGGAGTTCCAGAGGGTGGGGGCAGAGTGGCAAAAGGCCAACACACCAATAGTGGGGGAGCGAAATGGGGGGCGTTAAGCAAGCCGGAGAACGCTGAGTAGACGGAGCAAGACAATGGAGGGCTTTCAACGTGAGGACCAGGAACTTGAACTGTATCCTCTGTGTGATGGGAAGCCCATGGAGTCGGGTGAGGATGGGGGTAATAGGGTCACGGAGATTGGTGCAGGAGAGGACACAGGCTGCAGAGTTCTGGATAATCTGTAGCCTATGGAGGGAGGAGTTGGGGAAATTGACAAGCAAGGAGTTTGCATAGTCAAACCTCGATGTAATGAAAGCGTGTATGAGGTTTTCAGGGGCCTGTGCTGTGAGACAGTGGCGGAGCCGGACGATGTTGCGGAGATGGAGGAGGGTAGAGTGGATCATAGCACAGATGTGGGATAGAAAGGATATTCGAGGGTCAAACAAGTCGCCAAGGTTCCGGACTTGCTTAGTGAGGTGGAGGATACAGCCATGGATGGTGATGCTGTCAGCGCCTGAAGTGTGGAGGCGCTGATGGGAGACAATCGGGAGAACCTCGGTCTTGTTGATGTTCAACTCCCATCCAGGACTTCATGTCTGACAGACATACTATTAGGACAGCAGTGGTCCTGGAGTCAAGGGTGGAGATAGAGATGTCGAGTTGGGTGTCACCTGCATACATGTGGAAGACGACCCCATGTCTGCGGATGAAAGTTTGCTAAAGAACCAGAGTCCTGTACAACCAGTTTAAAAGAAGAAAACTTTCTGGGAACTCACAAACAAGTTCAGAAGCACAGATATATGAATAAATCCTTACTCTGGAATTCTGTAATGTTTCCGGATTTGAAAGTTACCGAGGGTCCAGTTCCACATTACACTCTGTGGTTTATCATCTAAACCACCGAGTGTGAGGAAGAACTGCACACTTAGTAACTTTCAAATCAGGAAATTTAAAATAAACTTCAATTATGAATCTCCTTTTTCCAGGAAACCTTTACAGATGAGCAATAAAATCATCCATTAATACAATAAAATGTGATCAGAATTACTCAACAATTTGGTGAAAAAATAGCGGCTGAACATTGCAATGTTGCCACATGTTGCCTAATGTACTATAAAATATAATATATTAATTTGTACATTGAATTTAACGTTGTCACAATATTTAACATTTGCACTGTGTCCCAGGCAGGTCGGAGACAATCTAGCCCTCCTCCTCTCAACACCCTTCTAAATAGCAAGAGCCTCGTCTTCGCTATGTATTGGATTTTAAAGCTTTGTAGATCAGATTGATGGTGAATGCAACAGCAGGTTGTTCTTAAGAACTGTGGAAAACAAGTTAACAATTCAATCTGAATTTAATCATTTTCAACAACTCTGTGAGATCTTAACGTATAAGACAAATGCTTCTACAGACTAGGATTAGGGTGAATTTAGGTCCTTTCCATGCTTGCAAGCTTTCACTCCAAATTTGCTGTCACTGCATTTCGCAGTAAAATCCTTTAAAACCTTTTGAGACATTTCAACGGCATACGATATCAGCGGCATGCTGTATTATGATGCTGTTAAGCACTCTAAGATGCTTCCCTATGTGGAGGTTGCCAGATAAATGCAAGCTGTTGTTATTGTTCCCACAAAATATACAGTTAATTCACTTTACAGTATATTCTATGAAGCGCTTTGAGATGTCTCAAAGACGTGATAAGGCGCTATATCAAATGCAAGGATTATTATAATTTGGCAGATATTTTTGACAGTTTTGTAGCTGTCACAGCTTCAGATTGAAAATAAGTGACAATCTTAATCACTTATAACATTTGCCACCAAAATTCCCATGTGACTGTATTTCAACAATCGTGACCCATTCTTAGTCAACATTATTTTTGCACTCTCACTAATGTATGAAGTTAATAGCATGAAAACTCTGACACATTTCTCGTAATTCATAGGTTTAGAGTCTGCTTTGTGTTCCCCTTTATTATAATCTGAAGGAGCGTGCCAAGATCTCTTAAGCGTTAAATGTAAAATCTGGAACTGGATTTGGCTACACATGGCTGAAAATGAATATTGTGGTGAACAACAGTACATGCATTCCTGAAAGCTGTGTAGCCCTCAATAATGTTTTGTTGCATATCAATTTGTGAGTAATGATTGATCAAAAGGTCTTGAGGGAAGAGGATTATTTCTTTGAAAAAATGACAGTGACAAATTAATTTCTACTGTTAAAGGCTTGGACTGTAGAAGGTTGATGTTCATGGGTTGGAAAGAGTCAAAAGTTAAGCAATAGACCAATTGGGGATTTCCCTTAACCAACAAATGCCCTGTTTGGTGGATTTCATTTCCGCTGCTTGCCAAGTGAAAGGAGAAATTCACAATAAATAGCGGTTCAGAGAAGCTTTCTGGCATTGAATTTCACTGCGAGAGAAACAGTGAGACAGAGTCAGGCAAGAGACCCTGCAGCAGAAATCCATTCAACAGCACTAGGATGAAGATGAACACTGTAACTGTGCTCGTCATGCTTCTGTGTGTTATTGCCACGCAAGGTAAGTTGACTTTGTGCTCTTATGTTTCATCTCATTTCAATTTATCCTGATGGATCTCAGGGGTTATTGAAATTGAACTTTCTTCTTTGACTCTATTACAACTGTTCCAGGTTACTGCAGAGTTGTAAGGTTTGCAGTATTAGATGAAGTGCAGAAGAATCAAATCCCATAATATGCTTTTTCTACATAAAAATTAATGTTCAAATCCAGTAAAAGAATTAATAATATTAATTTTTGCATTTGGTTTGGTGTCAAATATAGTAACTAAAATATTCACAAAGTCTTGATGTGCTTCGCAGATAATTGCTGTAAAGTGTAGTGACTGTATTTTGTGGATAAATGCAGCAGCCAATTTGCACACAACTATATTGCATTGCTGCATTGTGATCAATAAATTAATGAATTTAACTCTGTTTTACAGGAATTCCCATTGTAGGAACCAGAGCTCGCTGTCTCTGTACTCAAACAACTTCCAGATTTATAAAACTGCAGAATATCCAGAGTCTGAAGTATATTCCTAGAGGAACGAGCTGTGAGTCAACAGAGATAATGTGAGTAAAATTGTATATAAAACTGTCAGAACATCGTTTGTACCGAACGAGTGCTGTCATTTAATCATATCCATTTAATAGAAAGTGTGATTTCTTCAAATCATTCCTAATTGTTCAGTTTATTTACAAAGTTAATTTTAATTATTTTGTTCTAAAAATGTGCTCACTTTCACATTGTCACATTTTCTTTCCATCACTCAGATCTTAATAGATAAATTTCTCTTTGCAGTGTTACCCTGAAAAGCAACAGAAAAGTGTGTGTGAATCCTGATGCCAAGTGGGTGAAGGTTGTTATTGCCCGAAGAGGTAGGTTTCTAATAGATTCACTTTTAGCTTGTGATTCGAACGAAAACACAACATCTTCTTTGTGATGAAGGTTGAGGGATGCTGGGGTGAAGCTGGGATTGATATGCGAGGCATCTACTGATTACCTTTAGGTCTGCCTTTTCTCAGAGCCTTATCTTCTTATAAGTATTAGCTGTAGTTGCTTTCTAAAGATTCTGAGGAATATTTGGAAACCTGAATATGCCAAATGAACATTCAGAACTACATTGTGTACTTCTGTTCTCTTGTCCACCAAAGACTGAACACTTTATAACCCCGTATTCTCTGAATAGGTGACTAATATTGCACAACCTTCCTTTATCACCTACTCTCTGAATACTGTTCAACGAATACACCATCTGATTTTCTCAGCACCCAGAGATTGAAAGAATTATACATCAAAAATCTTAAGAAACATATACAGTCTACATTCTTGTATTATCTAAAATTCAGGCTGTTTTAAAATAGCACTGATGAAGATTGTGAGTAGTACTGTATACTGAAATGAGTTTCTGTGATTCTGGGTGAAAGATTTCTGGTTAATATCATACTTCTTTATTTTCAGAGGCTAAAATGCGCAGTTGAAATGTGAAGCAGTGAAGTGATGGGGCTGATTGCACATCTGGATAACTTGAGAAATGTGGAGTTGGGTGATGGAGAAGCTTTACAAAGGATCAGAAAAATTGAAGTCATTCTATTACTTTGCTTTCTATCCGAATCAAAATCTGACTTCTCTAGCATGCTGAAAAGTTTTACACACAGTGATTGTTTTCAAATAACATCCTTATGAAATATGAAGTACTCCCACTTCCTGCACACTCAGTGAAGGAGACCGTATATGTAGGTTAAGGTTTATTGTGTTATCATATTTCTATACTATAGCACATTCGTGAGTTACAGAAATTCATCAGTTTTGAACACTGCACAACCCCGTTAAATTATTTATTTTCAGTAAGCTATGAAGTTCCGCATGGAAAGAGATGGTAATTCTGACTCTATGAAAGATTTTCTGGGATGAGGTTTTGTAAATTTGGAAAAGTTCAGTTGTGATAAATATCAAAAGTTCAATGATTCCACTCCAGGGAATTTTCATGTAGTGGTAGAAACCTTTTTCTGGCTGATTATTTTTCCAATCAATATGACAAGTGTATGATATACATGAATGAGAAATGTAAATCTATTCGATAGATTTGGTGGGCAGCGAAAATAGGATAATTTCAGGCATCAGCATTCTCTGTATTGATAGCATACAGACAGGATGTCAGATGTCAGTCATACAACAGCTGAAATTACTGGCATCCCTGGAAATATTGTTTAAAAATCAGCTTGAGGCATTGATCAGATCCCAGGCCCCTTCAGCCCCTCAGTAGTTATTGGATCTATCAGTACAAGAGGATGAACTTGAACTTTCCAGTTTAGTAGNTTTTTTTCTATAATCAAACCAAGTTTGAAGGGCTTTCTTCTGTCTTAGAACAAAGAAAGTTGTTACTATTCTCTGTACATACATTTGATAACAAAAACAGTTTTATTTTAATTCTTGACCGAGATATTTTTCCAATTTGAAAGATTATTTTTAACTTCAAGTAACAAGAACCCATTGCATGATATTAAGACTGAAATTATTTGGTAAAGTAAAATATAGTATTAGAACTTTGCAAATGGAAATTAATTATGGATATGAGACTGTATGTAAATAGTAGTGCTCTTTACTGTGTGGTATTAATTGCAAGAAATAGCATTGTAAAAATAGATTTGCTATCTTCAACCCAATGGACATGTTTTTATTTAGTGTGTTATTTAGTAGGTTCAGTGTACTAAAAGATATTGATATATTTTTGGAGATTAATAAATGAACACATTTTGTCTAAAAGCAATTCTAGTAATTGTGATTGATGTTGACAATATGTTTGCTCCGTAAATAAGACTGGTGCACTCATAAACATATTTGAGTTCTTTCTCATGCACCTCACACAGTTATAAATTGATGCCAGTATATCTGATTGCTTACAAGCTTTGTGGAAGATATGAAGAGAAAATATGAGTTTTAATCCTTAAATTGATATAATGTTTTTCACCTTGGGAGGATATCTCAGAAAGCTTCACAGGAGTTACTGTGAAGTGTAGTGACTATTTTTTATTAAACCTTTTTGAGTTGTTTCTCACGCACTACATGCAGTTATGCACTGATGTCAGTACATCTGTGATGTACATGTTGCAGTGCAGGTTGCTAGATAATATTTTACCACTTGGAATCTGAGAGCTTCTGTACAGTGCAATCTGTCAGTAGCCATCCAAACTGCAACAGATAATGGCGATACAGTGGTTGGTGCTCTGCAAATCTCCCTCCTGTCAATAATTATGAGCTGGTGAGGGTCCTTTTCCCAAAAAACAGCTCGTCTCGATTCTCAATCAGGGATGGTGTAGTCTGGTAGCCACTGTATAGTTTGTGGAGTGCATCTGTTTCCCTTCACTCCTCTGCACTATAGTCTATATCAGTGTTTCTCAGCCTTTGTTAGTACCACATACCAACTCCGTTTTTTTAACAATTGATTATATTTGAGACTTATGTAACTTTAAGCCTAAAGCACTCAGAGACACTGCCCCAGTTGAAGTGCACTCTATAAATGTAAGTTGTTATTGAAGTGATGGATGTATAGAAAGGGGGTAAACTGAAGATCAAAATCACAAATGTTCACAACATATCATGAAAGATTGTTTGGGTGAAGCATCACTGTGCATTATCACATACTTAATTAGGGTAGTTACCTAAGTTAAGTGCTGTATTTTTTTCAAAAAATTGCAAACTGATATAACACATAATAGTCATCTCCAGATTAAAGCATTCTTGGCCCACGCACGATTCTCTGTTAAACATGTCCAATGTGTGTCCTTCGAAATACATATGATACTGTTATAAAGCAACACAGCATTGACTTCTCTGGATTTTGTAGCTCAAATCAAAGCCTTGAAGTATTAATTGTAGACATGTAAAAATTTCATTGACACAAATGTATAGAATGGAAACAGGCCATTCGGCCCAACTGGTCCGTATATTTCTTATGTCCCCTCATTATTGATTCCCCAACCAGTGGAAACAGCATTACATTTCTTTGTTGATTTCAAAGGTTTGAGAAATAGAGTAGTGGAAGAATACTGATTTACTTTTACTTTTGGATTGGGAATATAGAGTTTTAATTCACATAAAACCAATGCATATCGGACATGTTTTCCACCTTCTACCACTTTTGGGTGGTCATCTGTAAGGAGCAGAATTCCAATGTTTCTATTAACATTAATGAGCAATTTGTATTGCGTTAAAGTGAATGAAGTACTGGTATGTTGGAAGACTTCCGGTTAAGATTAGAATTTTTCTTTCAGAGACCAAAAGGCTGAAGCAATAATGAGATGGGCCGATTCCACACCTGGATAACTTCAGTACTGAGAACCAGAGTAAACACAGAATTGGTTTGGTATCAGATGTCCAACTCATTAAATAAACCCCATTTTCCCCTCTTGTAACTTGTTTGTTATGGTTTAAAAACTCTTTTCTATACTGATGCATTTTCCTTTTTCCGATAATATTATATTGTGATATAGTACTGCGTTTTGATAGTGGGTATGTTAAATTGGTGAATATTTTAATTGTTTCAAGAATATCCAATTAGCAAGGTCAAATTACGTATTGGAACTGAATGATTTTGTTAATGTTCACTGCCCTTTGAATTGGAGCTGTGATTTCCTTGTAAAATATCGATTGTCAGGAAATGAACATTGCAAGAAGCATTTTGACTAACCCTAACCCTAACCCTAATCCTGTATAAAGTGTGAATTGTATTATGTATAGCAATGCTCATCACTGAATCACACAAAACTGTCCCAAAATGTGTAAATATAACCTTATTGTGCTGCGTTTAAAAGCAATCTACTGCCTCAAATGTCATTCATTGCTGAATGATATGAACTGTGTATAAATTGTGTAATTGTAACAATTTGCTATGCTGCTATCAGTTAGCAATCAACTGTCTGTAATGTATGTGCAAATGAAAGTCAACTTATATAGTTCTGTGTTCGAATTGTTGTGTTTAAAACTGCTAAATATATTGAACAATGTTTCTACACTTGGCTTTTCCTGCATAAGACAAATCTTGATCAAATCCTGCATAAAACAAATATCTTTGACCATGCCTATGATCACCTTACGTCTCCCATCTGACCTCATCTTGCAAAGTACTCGAAGAGGTTATCCTACATGAAGATGCAAGTTATTATTGTTGCTTAGTTGTCTGAAGCAGAGAAAGATTACAACAATATAACAACAACAACAACAACAACAGCAAAATTACATTTGTATAATACAGTGATACAGAACAGTGGAGTCTGGTTGAAGCGAATGCGATTTTTTAAGAAAAAAATTCACAACTTTCACAACTGGCAGCTGCTGAGCTAATGTGAAAAGCAGCTTTGGTGATATGAAACCAGATGAACGACCACTCTAGATGCACGAATCAGCGGCCACTGTGAGTTTGGATGGCAAGTGTCAGAATGTTATAAACAATAGGGAACCAATATAACCAATCCTAACTGTGTCGTCATCTAACATCTACACAGATTTATTTTTCCGCGCAGGTCATTGCATTTTAGGAACACAATAATAAAAATAATAGCAACAATAACAACAATAATAATAATAATAATAATCATTCTTGCATTTGACATAGCACCTGACTGCATGGATTTGCTAACAAACATTCTTATAAAAAGCCAGCCAGTGGGTACACAATTCAAAAAGAGAGATCACCAAAAAAATGATATTTGTATAGCTCCTTTCACATTGGGAATACATCCCAAGGTGCTGGACAGAGTTTCGGACCCGAGCTGGGGGTTGGGATCGAGGAGGGTGGAGTGCCCAGGGGAAGCAGAGAGATCGAAAGCATAGACGAAGAGGAGTGTCTGAGATGCGTCTTGAATGAGGCAAGGGAGTGGACGAGGCGGAGTGACTGCGTGACGGAGTTCCAGAGGGTGGGGGCAGAGTGGCAAAAGGCCAACACACCAATAGTGGGGGAGCGAAATGGGGGTGTTAAGCAAGCCGGAGAACGCTGAGTAGACGGAGCAAGACAATGGAGGGCTTTCAACGTGAGGACCAGGATCTTGAACTGTATCCTCTGTGTGATGGGAAGCCCATGGAGTCGGGTGAGGATGGGGGTAATAGGGTCACGGAGATTGGTGCAGGAGAGGACACAGGCTGCAGAGTTCTGGATAATCTGTAGCCTATGGAGGGAGGAGTTGGGGAAATTGACAAGCAAGGAGTTTGCATAGTCAAACCTCGATGTAATGAAAGCGTGTATGAGGTTTTCAGGGGCCTGTGCTGTGAGACAGTGGCGGAGCCGGACGATGTTGCGGAGATGGAGGAGGGTAGAGTGGATCATAGCACAGATGTGGGATAGAAAGGATATTCAAGGGTCAAACAAGTCGCCAAGGTTCCGGACTTGCTTAGTGAGGTGGAGGATACAGCCATGGATGGTGATGCTGTCAGCGCCTGAAGTGTGGAGGCGCTGATGGGAGACAATCGGGAGAACCTCGGTCTTGTTGATGTTCAACTCCCATCCAGGACTTCATGTCTGACAGACATACTATTAGGACAGCAGTGGTCCTGGAGTCAAGGGTGGAGATAGAGATGTCGAGTTGGGTGTCACCTGCATACATGTGGAAAACGACCCCATGTCTGCGGATGAAAGTTTGCTAAAGAACCAGAGTCCTGTACAACCAGTTTAAAAGAAGAAAACTTTCTGGGAACTCACAAACAAGTTCAGAAGCACAGATATATGAATAAATTCTTACTCTGGAATTCTGTAATGTTTCCGGATTTGAAAGTTACCGAGGGTCCAGTTCCACATTACACTCTGTGGTTTATCATCTAAACCACCGAGTGTGAGGAAGAACTGCACACTTAGTAACTTTCAAATCAGGAAATTTAAAATAAACTTCAATTATGAATCTCCTTTTTCCAGGAAACCTTTACAGATGAGCAATAAAATCATCCATTAATACAATAAAATGTGATCAGAATTACTCAACAATTTGGTGAAAAAATAGCGGCTGAACATTGCAATGTTGCCACATGTTGCCTCATGTACTATAAAATATAATATATTAATTTGTACATTGAATTTAACGTTGTCACAATATTTAACATTTGCACTGGGTCCCAGGCATGTCGGAGACAATCTAGCCCTCCTCCTCTCAACACCCTTCTAAATAGCAAGAGCCTCGTCTTCGCTATGTATTGGATTTTAAAGCTTTGTAGATCAGATTGATGGTGAATGCAACAGCAGGTTGTTCTTACGAACTGTGGAAAACAAGTTAACAATTCAATCTGAATTTAATCATTTTCAACAATTCTGTGAGATCTTAACGTATAAGACAAATGCTTCTACAGACTAGGATTAGGGTGAACTTAGGTCCTTTCCATGCTTGCAAGCTTTCACTCCAAATTTGCTGTCACTGCATTTCGCAGTAAAATCCTTTAAAACCTTTTGAGACATTTCAACGGAATACAATATCAGCCGCATGCTGTATTATGATGCTGTTAAGCACTCTAAGATGCTTCCCTATGTGGAGGTTGCCAGATAAATGCAAGCTGTTGTTATTGTTCCCACAAAATATACAGTTAATTCACTTTACAGTATATTCTATGAAGCGCTTTGAGATGTCTCAAAGACGTGATAAGGCGCGATATCAAATGCAAGGATTATTATAATTTGGCAGATATTTTTGACAGTTTTGTAGCTGTCACAGCTTCAGATTGAAAATAAGTGACAATCTTAATCACTTATAACATTTGCCACCAAAATTCCCATGTGACTGTATTTCAACAATCGTGACCCATTCTTAGTCAACATTATTTTTGCACTCTCACTAATGTATGAAGTTAATAGCATGAAAACTCTGACACATTTCTCGTAATTCATAGGTTTAGAGTCTGCTTTGTGTTCCCCTTTATTATAATCTGAAGGAGCGTGCCAAGATCTCTTAAGCGTTAAATGTAAAATCTGGAACTGGATTTGGCTACACATGGCTGAAAATGAATATTGTGGTGAACAACAGTACATGCATTCCTGAAAGCTCTGTAGCCCTCAATAATGTTCTGTTCCATATCAATTTGTGAGTAATGATTGATCAAATGGTCTTGAGGGAAGAGGATTATTTCTTTGAAAAAATGACAGTGACAAATTAATTTCTACTGTTAAAGGCTTGGACTGGGTTCATGGGTTGGAAAGAGTCAAAAGTTAAGCAATAAACCAATTGGGGATTTCCCTTAACCAACAAATGCCCTGTTTGGTGGATTTCATTTCCGCTGCTTGCCAAGTGAAAGGAGAAATTCACAATAAATAGCGGTTCAGAGGAGCTTTCTGGCATTGAATTTCACTGCGAGAGAAACAGTGAGACAGAGTCAGACAAGAGACCCTGCAGCAGAAATCCATTCAACAGCACTAGGATGAAGATGAACACTGTAACTGTGCTCGTCATGCTTCTGTGTGTTATTGCCACGCAAGGTAAGTTGACTTTGTGCTCTTATGTTTCATCTCATTTCATTTTATCCTGATGGATCTCAGGGGTTATTGAAATTGAACTTTTTTCTTTGACTCTATTACACCTGTTCCAGGTTACTGCAGAGTTGTAAGGTTTGCAGTATTAGATGAAGTGCAGAAGAATCAAATCTCATAACATGCTTTTTCTATATAAAAAATAATGTTTAAATCTAGTAAAAGAATTAATAGTTATAATTCTTGCATTTGGTTTGGTCTCAAATATAGTAACTCGAATATTCAAAAAGTCTTGATGTGCTTCGCAGATAATTGCTGTAAAGTGTAGTGACTCTATTTTGTGGGTAAATGCAGCAGCCAATTTGCACACAACAGTAATGCATTGCTGCGTTGTGATCAATAAATGAATGCACTTAATTCTGTTTTACAGGAATTCCCATTGTGGGAACCAGTGCTCACTGTCTCTGTATTCAGACAACTTCCAGATTTATAAAACTGCAGAATATCCAGAGTCTGGAGTATATTCCCAGAAGAAGTGGCTGTGAGTCAACAGAGATAATGTGAGTCAAATTGTATGTAAAACTTTCAGAACATTGTTGATGCCTAACGAGTGCTGTCATTTAATGGTATCCATTTAATAGAACGTGTGATTTCTTCAAATCATTCCTGATTGTTCAGTCTATTTACAAAGCTAATTTTTATTATTTTGTTCTAAAAATGTGCTCACTTTCACATTGTCACGTTTTCTTTCCATCAATCAGATCTTAATAGATAAATTTCTCTTTGCAGTGTTACCCTGAAAAGCAACAGAAAAGTGTGTGTGAATCCTGATGCCAAGTGGGTGAAGGTTGTTATTGCCCGAAGAGGTAGGTTTCTAATAGATTCACTTTTACATTGTGTACTTCTGTTCTCTTGTCCACCAAAGACTGAACATTTTATAATCCCATATTCTCTGAATAGGTGACTAATATTGCACAATCTTTCTTTTTGGATTGCTGTTTAATTAAATTACTTCCATTTTACTGTTCAATGAATGCAACTGATTGTGTCAGCAACCAGAAATTGAAAGGATTATACACAAAACATCTACATTCTTGCATTGCTAAAATTCAGACTGTTTTAAAATAGACCAATGAAGATTGTGATTAACGCTGTGTATTAAAAAGAGTATCTGTGATTACTGGGTGGACGATTTCTGGTTAATATCATACTTCTTTATTTTCAGAGGCCAGAATGAGCAGTCGAAATATGAAGCCGTGAAGTGATGGGGCTGATTGCACATCTGGATAAGTTGAGGCATGAGGAATTGAGTGAAGGGGAAGCTTTACAAAGGATCAGAACAATTGAAGTCATTCTATTACTTTGCTTTCTCTCCGAATCAAAATCTGACTTCTCTAGCATGCTGAAAAGTTTTACACACAGTGATTGTTTTGAAATAAGATCCTTATGAAATATGAAGTACTCCCACTTCCTGCACACTCAGTGAAGGAGACCTTATATGTAGGTTAAGGTTTATTGTGTCATCATTTTTCCAGACTATAGCACATTCGTGAGTTGATCTATTATAGAAATTCATCAGTTTTGAACACTGCACAACCCCGATAAATTATTTATTTTCAGTAAGCTATGAAGATGCGCATGGAAAGAGATGGTAATTCTGACTCTTTGAAAGATTTTCTGTGATGAGGTGAACAGATTGAGGCTTTTTAAATTTGGAAAAGTTCTGTTGTGGTAAATGTCAAAAGTTCATTGATTCCACGCAGGGAATTTTCATGAAATGGTACCCACCTTTTTCTGGCTGATTATTTTTCCATTCAATATGACAAGTATATGATATACATGAATGAGAAATGTAAATCTATTCAATAGATTTTGTGGGCCGCTAAAATAGGATAATTTCAGGCATCAGCATTCTCTGTATTGATAGCATACAGACAGGATGTCAGATGTCAGTCATACAACAGCTGAAATTACTGGCATCCCTGGAAACATTGTTTAAAAATCAGCTTGAGGCATTGATCAGATCCCAGGCCCCTCCAGCCCCTCAGTAGTTATTGGATCTATCAGTACAAGAGGATAAACTTGAACTTTCCAGTTTAGTAGTTTTCTTTCTATAAGCAAACCAAGTTTGAAGGGCTTTCTTCTGTCTTAAAACAAAGAAAATTGTTACTATTCTCTGTAGATACATTTGATAACAAAAACAGTTTTATTTTAATTCTTGACCGAGATATTTTTCCAATTTGAAAGATTATTTTTAACTTCAAGTAACAAGAACCCATTGCATAATGTTCAGACTGAAACTATTTGGTAAAGTAAAATATAGTATTAGAACTTTGCAAATGGAAATTAATTATGGATATGAGACTGTATGTAAATAGTAGTGCTCTTTACTGTGTGCTATTAATTGCAAGAAATAGCATTGTAAAAATAGATTTGCTATCTTCAACCCAACGGACATGTTATTATTTAGTATGTTATTTAGTAGGTTCAGTGTACTAAAAGATATTGATATATTTTAGGAGATTAATAAATGAACACATTTTGTCTAAAAGCAATTCTAGTAATTGTGATTGATGTTGACAATATGTTTGCTCCGTAAATAAGACTGGTGCACTCATAAACATATTTGAGTTTTTTCTCATGCACCTCACACAGTTATAAATTCATGCCAGTAAATCTGATTGCTTACAAGCTTTGTGGAAGATATGAAGAGAAAACATGAGTTTTAATCCTTAAATTGATATAATGTTTTTCACCTTGGGGGGATATCTTAGAAGGCTTCACAGGAGTTACTGTGAAGTGTAGTGACTCTGCATTTTGTTGTCAATTTTTTGGAAATTAGGAGAAAATAAATCTCAGACAATCAAAACAGTTGTGAAATGAGTGACAATTTTTAATTTGATAAATTATTGACCAGGACTCCAGGAAAAACTCCTATATTTTTTGTATAGTGCTTTGGGATGTTTAATGATTACCTGATCTGGCAGACAGGACCTCGATTCAATGTTTCATCCAATGGATATTAACAAAAAATTGATAGAGAGCATTTAATGTCGGGAGGACATCCCAACGTGCTGCACAGTAAAGGGTTTGCACCTCATTTGGGTATTGGATTCTGGAAGGGTGGGAATGGGGAAATTGTTTGAAGGCACAGTCAAAAAGGAAGGTCTTCAGATATATCTTGAAGGAGGTGAGGGAACGGGCAGGGTGAAGGCCACTGGGATGGAATCCCAGAGTTCTAAAGAATGAGGGCAAAAGGACAACACCCCCAACAGTGGCTCGAGCACACTAGGATCAGGGACTATATACTGAGGGACAAGTTGTAAGTCGGCTCAACCGGGGCAAATGCCAGATGGGGCTTACACCCTTGCAAGAGCCACTCCGGCACAACCTACTTCAGACACACCCACTGGGTAGCCTACAAGTGCACCAAAAACTGACTGAAGTAAGGGTACAGAAAAATGCTCAAGCTGTAACCAAAGAGGGTCCAGGGAATGTATGCACAGTAAACATATGCATGTACGGTGCACATCTTGGCGCCTACCAAAAGCGACAAGTCCATCTTATCAGGGTATGTGCAGGTGGGCACATGGAGTTAGTGTACATAGGGGTGACTCCCGACTGTGTTAAAGCGAGTGTCCCAATAAACGTGTTCACAGCCTACATGCAGTAAAGGAATGTACCATAAGCAACAGAATGTTTTTTATATCGGCAGCAAAGGGAAACATTGTAACAGAATGTGTTGTGTTTGGTTTGGAATTTTGTTATACTAAATATTATATTTATAAATAAATATATATTTTCAAAACAAAAGTAGCACTCGCTTCTTGAAGATCTTCTGTAGAGGTTTGCTTGTGTTTACATGTCCACCACCAAATCTCCCAATATTACCTTATGGGAGGTTCGAGCACATGGCAGGAGCTATCGTCTGCCTTCTGTTGGCTGGGATTGTACCTTTGATCTGAAGAGTTCGATCTAACCTCACAAAAAGAGGGAAGGGAGATACTGGAATATGAAGATAGCTTAAGCACTTGGTCACTAGAGAGTTTGGGGCACAGGGGAAAGGAGGACAACCCTTGTTCCCTTGAGGAAATGTTTTGGTCTAATTTGGCTTAAAAAAGATTGAATGAGGCCTAACCTCTTTCACCAAATAAAAAAACTGTAGCTCTTGCCTATGTACAGGGTTATGAGGACGTACCCATATCTACTGCATATAGAGTCTGGTTCATCTTCAGAACTTACAATGCAGCACAAACCATCATGTAAAAATACAAGAATGTACAGACCAGAAAAAATGCTCCAGTTATTCCTGTCTGTTGCTTTCAACACATCATGTACATTTGTCACTCCGCGCAACTTTTATTATGCCCTGTGGAACTAAATGATTACAAAGCATTACAAATCTATCACTATGTTTCTGAATCTTATTACATGCAGTCATTTAACACTTTTCATGCTTGCCACTACAATCTGTTTCCAACACTCTATGCACACTTCTGACCACATTTTAAAGTTATCGCAATTTATATTCAATTTTCCTTATCATTATTCTAATAATAGTCCTTGCATTTGATATGGTGCCTTTATCCTCCCCATAGTTTGGAGGACATCTCAAAGCACTACACAGAATATACTGTAGAAGGAAATGACTATATTTGTAGTCGAGCGTAGCATACAACTGTGTCTCATGACACTTGAACAGGAGGGCAGAACTCGGCTTTATGTTTCATCTGAAGGACAGCACCTTCAACAATGCAGCACATCCTAAGCACTGCACTGGCGCGCCAGCCTAGAATGTGAGCTCAAAGCCTCGATTTGGGGCTTGAACGCACAACTTTCTGACTCAGAGGGGAAAGTACTACCAACTGAGCCAAGTTAATACTTAATTCACAGTTGACTACAAAACTGTGTGGTGAGAAATATACAATTTAGCAAGTCACATTGGTAATAAGTAGGATTTTTAAAGTATTTGGGTTTGCATAAAAGTAATAGATTATTCACAACCCCAAATCTTTTGCTAGCTGCCTTGAACCATTTGTTGCAATGTTGTTCAAATAGGTTTATTGTGACAATGTATGTTTCACCATTAGAGGTCCCTCTTACTTCACCTCATAAATTCTAGTCACTGGAATTTGCCTGTTTTTTCATCATACAACAACAACAAAGTTACATTTGTATAGCACCTTTCACGTCGGGAGGACGTCCCAAGGCGCTGAAGATCATACTGTAACAGACTCTGAGTCTGGTAGTGAGGTGACCAACTATGACATAAGGTCACCCTAAAGAGCTGTGCCTGAGATGTAGCAGCATCTTTGTGGTATAAAGCTTTAAACCATTCTTTTACTCCCCAACCATCCAGTTTCCCTGGATCAAATGTGGGCCTTGCAGCTTCTAGCTGCAAATCAGAGAGAACAAAGGACGTCTGAGACCTATCCATATGGCCAGGTTGAGCCTGTTGTGGAGAATGCTCTGAGGCTGTTGAGCTCAGAGACTGAGAGACCATGAAGATGTGAATGAGAATGGGCAGGGGGCAATGAATTAGAGTGATACACAGAAGGGGTGCAGGATACCTAATATGAGCCAAGGAGCCTCTAGCTCCGTTCGAGATAATGAGTCTTGTCTGTCTCTGCTACGGACACCGGAAAATGCCTAGGCCTCTCCCTCACCCCACCCCCTGGATTACTAAACAGCAGTTTTTGAATCAAGGGTGGGCCTGTGAATAGTCAATATATATTTCTGCATGCTCTCTTAATACCCCTTCCTTTACTTAAGCTTTCCCTGTTCTTTTTTAGAACACTGGTACTCCCCCAGCATTGAGTTGGAGTGCCAGTCCAGACTATCAGCTCAAGATCCTGACATGGGGCTTGAATCCATAACTTTCTGATTCAGAGGTGAGCATGCTACCAACTTAATCAGGCTGACACCTAAAATGCCCAGCTCCTTGCAACCCTGGTGTAAACACTCCCTGGTCGTTAACGTTACTAAACATGCAAGCTCTAATAATGTGGGAAATCCCATTGTAACTATACATCACATAGGTCTGCATCTTTACTGACCAGTCGGGAAGTGCACCCAAGTGCAGAACTTGTCTCAAATTGGAACTCATTTACTAGCAACTTAGATGGACACATCCCACAATCTAGTTGAGGAATGGTGCCAACAAAATTACAATTGACTTTTTTTGGGTCAAAGTAATTGGAAATTGCTTTTGAGAAATGACTTTTCATAACCACTGATGGACAAAACTATTAGTCAGATATTAAATTACCAGCACTACGAGTAGGCTGCTGACGACAAGCAGAAGAATTAAATGACAGCGGAAAGAACAGTGACAATTAATAAAATTAAATCAAATGTATTCAACTGAATACGGGAAAGGGTCAG